AAAAAAAAAAAAAAAAAAAAAAAAGCTAGGACATTTGCATTCAACAAAACAAACCACTCCCCGACAACCGCCTTCCCCCGAACATAACGTTCCCTGATTACTTCAACGTATACAAGCCTTCTTTCCGGTCCGATACAGTCATGACGAGCGAAGGAGAGCGTTGTATTCGCGGGCCGACGGTAAGTTTGTGGTTGTAGAACGTACCACGACGTCTTCCGTTCGACATCCCCTTTCTCTTTTCTTTTTTTTTTCCCTTTTTTTTTCCCCTTTTTTTCCCTTTTTTTTCCCTTTTTTTCCCTTTTTTTCCCTTTTTTTTTCCTTTTTTTTCTAGGCTTCCAGAGTTGCCCGGGGTCACTTTTGTTCAGTTTATTTTTCTGCATAACATTGTTTTTTTCGGGATTTTTTGGATTGTGTTTTGTTTTGTTTTTCTGCTGGTCCTTGCACGGGGTGGCCACCCGGGACCCGGTCGGCCCGGCTGGTAGCCTAGTTTTTTTCCCTTTTTTTTTCCTTTTTTCCCTATTTTCCCTTTTTTTCCCCTTTTTTCCCTTTTTTCCCCTTTTTTTCCCTTTTTTTCCTTTTTTTCCCCTTTTCTTTTTCTTTTTTTTTCCTTTTTTTTTTCCTTTTTTTTTTGAAAGACATCCCCTTTGACCTTCTTTCCGTTTCCGGAGCGCAACCGATCGAAAGGCGTCGAGGATTGTGGGCGTGCGCTGGGATGAGTACCGCGCGGCTATATATCTGTTGAAGAGCTGTCGAAGCTCACGCGCACAATCCGCGACGCGTTTCCACTCATTCTTCTTCTGTACGAAAGGCAGCTGGCCACTCTATCCACTCATTCTGCTTCTTCTTCTTCTTCTTCTTCTTCTTCTTCTTCTTCTTTCCTTTTCTTCTTCTTTTATTTATCTCTTTTCATTTTTCTTCTTCTTCTTTTTTTTTTTTTTTAATTATTATTCTCCTTTTCCCGTGCCGTTGTCTGATGTGCCTCCAGGTGTTGCCACGTGGCGTGCGTGATCCACGCACGTGCACCGCGCGGCACCTTTCTTCTACCTCTTCCTCCTCTTCCTCCTCCCCCACCTTTTCTCCTCTTTTCCTCCTCCGCCTTTTCTCCTCTTTTCCCTCCTCCCCCTCCTTTTCTCCTCTTCCTCCTCCCCCCTCCTTTTCTCCAACCGTTGTCAAACGTGGCTCCACGTGGTGCCACGTGGCCTGCCTCTTCCACCATCAATTTCGCCATTTGGCGCGCTTTGAATCCGTCTCCCATTCTTCTTCTTCTTCCTTCTTCGTCTTCCTCCTCCTCGTGGCGCGCTTAAGATCGCTCACCCACCTTCTTCTCCTTTCCTTTTTTTTTTTTCTCTTCTTCTTCTTGTCTGATTGTTTTCGCGCACTGCCACGTGGCGCGCTTAAGATCGCTTACCTACCTTCTTCTCCTTTTCCTTTTTTTTTTCTCTTCTTTTCTTTCTCTCGATGTGAGACTGCCATTCATTTTCTTTCTTCTGAGCAGACGGGCATCGAGACCGCAATTCATGTCGAAATCAAAAGTGAAAATGCAATCGAAAAACAAAATCGACTGGCATCGGAAATATAAAAGTGAAAATAAAACACAATTCGAAATGAATGACATGTTTGGTTGGAAATATAAAATAAATGTGAAAAAATGAAAATAATAAACAAAACCGAGCCTCCCGCCCTGCAAGCGCCTTTCAACTCTTCACCGCCGCACAACTCTCTTCCTCTCTTTCTTCCCCCTCTTCCCCCTCTTCCCCCTCTACTTCCCCCTCTTCTTCTTCTTCTTCTTATTATTATTATTATTAGTATTATTATTATTAGTATCATTTTTATTATTAGTATTATTATTATTATTATTATTACTATTATTATATTACTATTACTATTACTATTATTATTATATTTTTTATTATATTACTATTATTATTGTTATCATTATCATTATTATTATTATATTATAATCATTAGTATTATCATCCTTATTATTATTATCCTTATTATTATTATATCTGCCCTCTCAGCTCCGTATTCGGACGCGAGGTGGAGCCGTAAGGCGATGATCTTGGGAGAAGACCCCACTACTTGGCCGTCCCCCTCTTCCTCTTCTTCTTCTTCTTCTTCTTCTTCTTCTTGTCCTCTCAGCTCAGTGGCCAGAATGCGACGTAGCGCCGTAAGGCGGGTTTACGGAAATAGTGCACACGGAAGTGTAATGCTTCTTCACCCTAAGCATGTCTAAAGAGCAGTCTTTGGCCTCTATTCAATCACTCTTCTTCCTCTTCTTCGGCTCCTCCTCCTCCTCCTCCTCTTTCTTCTTGATGGTCCATCTGTTCGTCTACAGCGCCCTGCAGCGGCGGCGGCAAGCAGTGAGACCGTCGACCAACTCCAACCTTCTTGGAATCATGGCAGACGGAAAACCCCGAAAAAAAAAAAAAAAAAATGATTTCGGGTTTTTTCGGAATCATGGCGAATGCGCCAAACATGTTTCACTATTTCCTTTCCTTCTTCGAAGAATCGTGACAGAGGAGAACCACCCCCCCCCCCAACCCCCCACACCCCAAAAAAAAGAAGAAGAGGAATGAAACAGGTTTGACAAGAAACGCGCCGCCGCCACAGCCTGACACGTAGCGCTCAAGGCTACGTACGTCCCGTCCCCCATACCTTCATCCTTCATCGTCGTTCTTGTCTTCTTCTGCTTCTTCTTCTTCTTCTTCTTCTTCTTCTTGGCGCCCCTCCGTCCGCAGCGTACTTCTCGCTGGCCACGTGGCCGACTTCATCGCGCGCTGCTTCGCGCCGTAAGTTTTTTTTCCAAGTGCCTTTTCCGCCCGCGCCGATTTTTTTTTTTTCGACCGCGGAAGCGCTGCGGCCCCGCTGCGACGCTGTCGCGCCCGCGCCGAGGACCTCAGCAGCGCGCCTGTTCGACGTGCGCGGACGGACGGCAGCGGTACCGCGGCCGCGGGCCATCGCGGGGGGGGGGGGGGGGGGGGGGGGGGGGGGGGGGGGGGGGGGGGGGACCCAGGCTGTGGGCCTCGGTTCACTACTCTCGAAATGTGCAAGACGAGAGTGAATCTTCAGCCAGAAGATGGAAAGATACACCGCCATGAGTTTTGTGTTTTTGTGCACTTTTGCGGCCAGGCCCTATGTCTATAATATAATGACACCTGGGGCCAAGTCCCACTAGCACCGTTGAGCTACCTCACAGCCTGAATCTGAACGCTTTTGCGGAGATGTGCAGAAATGGTGTTGAGTTTCCTGAACTGCACGTCTCCACAAACACGTCCAGATTCAGGAGTTGAGGTAGCTCAACTCTGCTAAGTGGGACTTGGCCCCTGTCCAGATTTGACAGGTAATTGAATTGGTTGGGCTAAAGGAATTTCAAAAAAAGAATGGAAAAAAAAAGGAAAAAAAAGGAACTGTTGATAAACGGCCCTAAGGGCCGCGGGCCATCGCGGGGGGGGGGAGAGGGGCAGATACACCGCCATTTTTTTTTATTTTTTTTTATTTTTTTTTGGACCKTTTCTCGATTTATGCGTGTCATCCTTGCGCAGGGGGCCATGCTAATCTTCTCTGTATCGTTCCAATTTTTTTTTATTTTTTTTTTTTGAAAGCTATATTCTTCTCTCAATTTCACCTCACACTACCTACTTCCAATTTTAACGGATACATAGTGTAGTTTAAAAAAGGAAAGATTTTTTTTTTTTTTAACGGATGTCTTATTTTTTGTCTTTTGCGCATATGGAGAGTAGTGCAGCGAGGCCCTAAGTTGGAACCCTCACACGTAGAGCATCGTACGTTTTTTTGTTTTTTTTTGTTTTTTTTTTGGGGGGAGCATCGTACGTTAGGGTCTACCGCCATCCGCCCAAATTCTGAATGAATAAGGGCGAGATCCCACTGGCAAAAAGGATTGGAATAAGTGTCTGAATCTGGAAGCGTTTGTGGAGAGGGTGCAAAAAACAATAATTGATCTGCTTTTCTGCATCTCTGCATGGAACATGTCCTGATTCAGACACTTATTCCAATCCTCTTTGCCAGTGGGATCTGGCCCTAAAAAAGTTCTGAATGAAGCTGGTAGGCATAACATCATATAAGTCATAAGTATAACCTCAAGGAATAATTTGCAAAATACCCCCATAACTTGGGACATACACCAAAATGCCCCTGAAAGATGTGGGTAGACGGGAATCCCCTTTTGGCCGAAATCTGTGTGTATTTTTGCCCCTGTCCAGCGGGTGTGCAAATTTGCAATCTGGACCTTGCCCATTGGGCCTTCACCTTTTGCAATTGGGCCTTGGAAATGCTGACAAGTAGGGTGCAGTTTTTACCCAGTAGGGGTATATTGCAAAGATGAGGGATTCAACGGTACCCGGTAGAGGTATATTGCAAAGATGGGGAGTCCAACCGATGCCAGGGGCATTTCACAAGATATCTTTCTTGTCAGAGAGGGTCATTCCGCTCTACCCACATCTTTCAGGGGCATTTTGGAGGTGGACAGTTGAGGCGTGCCTGTTCTCCAGTCGACTTACAGCTTCCGAGTGCGTGGTGGACTGAATGTTGGCCATTTTAACCTTTCATCCGGGCCAGGAGAGGGATGTCAAAGCTGCAGTAAAGTGGGTTTCCTGCCGAAGAGGAGAGAGATGTCCAAGCTGGAGTGAAGTGCAAAGAGTGGCTGTGAGAGATGAAGAAAGATTGGGATTCGACCTCATCGTGAAGGGTGGGTGCCTCGATCTGCGTGGAGCAGTGCCGTACCCCGGGTCACTGTTCACGGGGTCAGTGAACGATGGCCGGTCAGCGGTCACGAGAATCGTGAACGCTTCTCGTTCACGGAGTTCACAGTGAGCGGTAAGGTCTTTTTTTTCTTTTTTTTGGGCTTGGGCGGGCCCTTTTTCTTTGCGCAGGTGTGTAGATGGTATCAATGAGCAGGTGCCTGTATTTCCCGAAACGATTTCAATTTTTTTTAATTTAAAAAATAATAATTAAAAAAAACGATTTTTGCCTGTGTTTGGCTTGGCAGGCCAGGTTGTTTTTTTCCGGAAAAAAAAAA